TCGGCTTCGGTGAACTCGAGCTTGTCCATGCCCTCGCCTGTGTACCAGTGTAAGAAAGCGCGCCTCCTGAACATGGCGCTGAACTGCTCCGAAATCCTTTTGAAGAGCTCCTGGATGGCGGTCGTGTTGCCTGGATGGACAAGGAAACACAACACAATTCGGGCGTGAGTAAAATAGAGGAAAAATAAAAGTGTTATTTGCTCTCGCTCATGACACATACCGATGAAGGTGGCTGACATCTTGAGGCCCGTGGGTGGGATGTCACACACGGCGGTCTTCACGTTGTTGGGGATCCATTCGACAAAGTAGCTGCTGTTCTTGTTCTGCACGTTCAGCATCTGCTCGTCCACCTCCTTCATGCTCATACGGCCCCTGAAGATGGCGGCGACGGTGAGGTAGCGGCCGTAGCGAGGGTCGCAGGCGACCATCATGTTCTTGGCGTCGAACATCTGCTGCGTGAGCTCGGGCACGGTGAGGGCCTTGTACTGCTGGCCCCCGCGCGACACGAGCGGCGCAAAGCCGGGCATGAAGAAGTGCAGCCGGGGGAAGGGTACCATGTTGACGGCGAGCTTGCGCAGGTCCGCGTTGAGCTGGCCGGGGAAGCGCAGGCAGGTCGTGACCCCGGACATGGTGAGGGACACGAGGTGGTTGAGGTCGACGTACGACGGCGTGGGCAGTCGGAGCGTGCGGAAGCAGATGTCGTACAGGGCCTCGTTGTCGATGCAGAACGTCGAGTCCGTGTTCTCCACCAGCTGGTGCACGGACAGGGTGGCGTTGTAGGGCTCGACCACCGTGTCCGAGACCTTGGGCGACGGCATGACCGAGTACGTGGTCATGATGCGCTCCGGGTACTCCTCGCGGATCTTGGACATGAGCAGCGTGCCCATCCCGGAGCCGGTGCCGCCGCCGAGCGAGTGCGTCAGCTGGAAGCCCTGCAGCACGTCGCACGACTCGGCCTCGCGCCGCACCACGTCCAGGACGGCGTCGACCAGCTCGGCGCCCTCGGTGTAGTGGCCCTTGGCCCAGTTGTTGCCCGCGCCGCTCTGGCCGAACACAAAGTTGTCCGGGCGGAAGAGGCCGCCGACGCGGCCGCAGCGCACCGCGTCCATGGTGCCGGGCTCCAGGTCCACGAGCACGGCGCGGGGCACGTAGCGCCCGGGGCTGGACTTGGACGGGCCTGCATCATCGGTATCAAAGTCAAACACCCACAACCCAAAGGTGAGGGAGAAATAGACAGCTTGTTGTTTTGCGAGGAGCCTTCCTGTCTTGGCAGAATAAGCAGGTCGACTTTTTTGTTATGAAAAGGAAGAAGACGCGGGAGACTTCACTGTGCTGCGCACCCTTTTTTCCTGTCTTTCCGTCGTGCCCCCCCCC